GTGTGTGTGTGTGTGTGTGTGTGTGTGTGTGTGTGTGTGTGTGTGTGTGTGTGTATATATATATATATCTTCGCATTGCCAACATATATCAATAAAAATACTGCTCGGCTTACTGTTGCTCTAACACCAAAATACATGGTTTACAATTAAATCAGTTATATATGAATGTTATCTCCATCACTCACCTGTCCCCAATCCGACACTTTTTCTTTTGGTATACGCTTAATCGCAACCTGAAATAAAAAACCTTGTTACTTTCTCTATTACAAACTTAAAGTTAAACTTTTCAGTATTCCAATATTCTATTCAAAATTTTAGCAAGATCAGTGAATACAATTAGTTTCATTGTAATAATTTTAGAAATGAAGTAGCGCTACACAACACTAATAGTAATAAATAACATGGTAATTTTATAGTTAAGATGACATCAGAAAGTTAAAAACCTGGTGGTGTGTTTTATTATCGTTTTAAAAATCAGACAGGTAACGTACATGCGCATTATCTCTTAGCCGTGTTCCGGCGTAAACTGTGCCAAATCCACCTTTCCCAAGCAGTGTGCCAATTCTATAAGCCTTCTCAAGCGGTTCTTGACGGACTAAAAAAAACAACAATAAAAAACGTTAGTTACGTCATAAGTCTACATTAATTAATATTTAGCATGTTATATATTTGTTTTAGTTATCTCAAGAATAAGTAATCATTTATTAAGTTTAAAACTTACAAGTTGAAATATACATCCTAAAAATAAAACCCCTTCACGGTTTACGTTTAACTTATTATATATAAAGTAGCAAGTCCTCACTTTTAATAATCGTAATATTAAAACAAGTCATGACATAAGATCAAGAAATACTGCTATCCAGTGCTAACATTAACAACACAATGGCTACTACTATTTGAACTCTTTAATTTCTGTTTGTGTTTTAGTGAACGCTCGTGCAGAAGCTTTACAGTTGAGTGTCTAATTAAATACCATTTTGGTGCTATAAAGTAATTTATTTCTAGTATTAATACTACTCGGACTAGTATCATTGGTAGTACTACTAATAGTAGTAGTTAATAGTGCTGGTAGTGGTAGTAACATCAGTATCCTATGCCTATACGGGATTTTGCAACTTACATTTAGTTTAACTTTTTGCTAAGCTAAAAATTACTTATATAATCCAACCTTAAACTATTCGGTTTAATTTACTATGACACTATAATAAAATATAATTACAATTCTTTACATGTTACCCTTCCTAATTATTGATGTGACACTAACACTATTACTCAGTTTTACAATACTAAACGGGCATCGGTAACGTACAATGCGAATAAAAAAAAATGTAAGCTTACCCGATCTTTCTTTTTCTGCGAGCGCATGTGAGTATGAGTTTGAAGAAAAAACACCCGATAAATTTGAAATCTTTCTAGCCAACATGTTTAGAATCAAAGATTGATTATCAGCGTATTCAATACCACTGATGAGAGAACCAGAAAACTTGATCTCACTAACGTTAAATACTCTCTCTCTCCTAACCACCAACCCCAACACGTCAAACGTTTACTACGATATGAGAACAGTTGATAGTTGGCTGGAAAATAAAAGTACGTACCAGTGTGTTCCTCCGCTGCTGTCTGTTTATAATAATGTTTATTTTAAGCTATAGAAAATGAAAAAATGCTCTATGTAATTCACTTATATGCATTTATTAATATAAAAGCCAATATTAATGCTAATTCATAAACAAGTATCTTGATCTACTTTTTATGGCGCGGACGGTCACAGTTTTGGGCAGTTAATTGCCCGTTTTCTACTACCCTGGTGCAACGTGTAAAAGAAATGTGTACGCGCCAAAAATTCTCCAATGACAGTTGAGATTACTCGCTGTATTTACTTAGGAATTTCTGTTTGGGTTATTGTTAGGCGTGGGTTTCTCTAATACCTAAGATGTACTTAAGTCGGAATCAATTTCAAAACTCACTTTCAACTTGTTTTTGCGGTAAACTTTATCACGATTGTTGGGATTATTTTTTGTCTAACGGAATTTTTTTTTCTTAAAGTTCGATAAAATACAACAACTGAGCTGTGTATTATTTTTAAATAAGTAATAAAACCAAAATACTTGATTTTTTTTCAAAGAGCTTATTACAATTTAAACATGGATTCATAAACTAGTAAATGGGCTGTCAATAGTACAAAATCTTCTCTAAGTTCTACTTCACTGTTATGTGAAAAATAACTTAATTTTAATTATTATTAGAAAGGGTTAATTAAGTTATCTGATTATATTAAACCTTCGGTTTCTGATTAAATAATAAACTAAATTATTAGGTAGTGAAACACAGACAACAATGTTAATCATCATAAATATAAATAATGCACTCTGAATAATGTAAAAGAAATCATATTTTTTCTTTGTTATTTCAAGAAATATTTGTCAACTGTCTATCTGCACCAGTGCTGGTAGTAAGATTGTTTTTACAATGGAGTTTTTTCAACATACACATGAAAAAAAAGCCCGTAAGAATTAATTACTGTAAACTTATATTTCTGATTCAGTATTAAATTCAGATTATAAAGCCAAAGTAATTTTCACTCATCATAATATATATTTTAATGGTAGTGGTATCTTATATTTTAGTCACTTTCGTCTCAAAATGTTAAAAAGCATCATTAAGAACTTTGCTGCATTATATTTATAAACTTGAAGGAGGCTGCTAAATGTTTTAACTAACAAAATTAAATAAATTATACCAATATTAATGTGAATTTTATCAGTTCGTTCTAGTTTTCTTAAGTACAAGTTTCGCAAGTTACTTTTTTGTAACTTGAACACCAACTATAAAACCAGTCAGAACATTCTGTTCTTTTAATTTTTTTTAAATCATACGATTTTATATTACCCATGTTCTATTTCCAGCATTTATCAATTATTCAACTAGTACAACTATATGTTTCACTAAGCAGTATTAGAAGTCTGCGAAAAGGCTTAGCTTGCATCCTTCTAAGAAACAACAAGTTGTGCTAAAAAAAGAGCTGGCAGTACATAAAAAAGGCTTACTGTTTTGAGGTTTCCTGAAACTAAAGATCAAAACCATTCAGTAACTTCCTCGTCCATTGAAAATAAAGTAAACTTTGCTAATTATAGATGACAACTCTATGAAAAAAGTTAGTCTGCCAATTTTGTGCCTATGTTATATTTTAAGATACACTCGGTCAATAACCACAATAACAAGAGGTTCTTAAGGAGATGTGTAAAGTCTGAATAAGCCAAGTGCGAGCACAATAAGAAGAGACTAGAAACAAGAAGTTTAACATGGAAAACAAATCACTTTATTTAAAACAAACGATTAAGGGCGCTCGACTCGCAATCTGAGGGTCACGGGTTCGAATCCCCGTCACCGAACATGCTCACACGAGTAGCCCAGCAGTTGGTGATGGGTGGTGTTGATTATCCGTCTTCCCTTAATTATGGATGGCTAGTACAGATAGCTTGTGTAGTTTTGTGCGAAATTCAAACCGAACTATTTTTTTCACTTTAGACTCAGCCCCAACCATATGATGTTCGTTTGTATAAAATATGTTTAAATTAAAGCTTGCATATATTTATATGCAGAAAGCCAAAACGGAGTGTTCTTGGACAGTAGGCAAACAAGGAAACTAATATAAACACCGAAAGTTGTACGCAATGTTTAATTTCAAACGGTATTGACGCTTAAAATTAACCAGGAAATTCGTAGAACATTTAGTATGAAATCAAAGAGATATTTACATATAAGTAATTTATTACTAAAAAAACTGAAAGGAATATTGTAAGCTTTGTTTTCGGTCATATGATCGGCTTCAGACATAAAAATGTTGAGCAAGAAGACTAAAATAGAACTAACCAGTGAAATTCATAATTGACATCTTCAATGCACAATGAGTGAGTTATCGGCTGTGTCCGCCACTGGACTTGAGCCCCAAATTCTAACATTATATTACCGCTAAGCTGCCAGAAGACTTCTCGATATGTCTGTCAGTGTAGATTTACAGCTTTTATACTTGAAAGTAGTTCTGAATTTTTAGAATGAATTCAACTTATACTGTTTTACTTGTAGTTTAGATTTCTCAGTTAATGGACTTAACAACTTATCCAGGTTCAAGTTATATCACGACAAAAACAGATATATATTCTTTACTATTATGGGTTCTTTCACAAATTCAGAACATATTTTAGCTTTGGAAACAATTTGATAAGCATCATTTTCTTGTATTATTATTTGTGCACTCGAGTATTGTATGTGCGCGAAAAAATCTTAATTATTGGGTTTTTGTTCGACTTGCTGTATTTTGTAAAAAAAACATATTTTACCAAATGACATAGAAAACTTTCCGCTCTCATTACTTTGGCAAAATTTAAATATTTGATTGAAGTTTTAAAAGGTTTAACATATAATACATTGTTTGTTCCTACTGGCCATAAAACATTGTGGGAGCAGTTCAGATGTATCAAAAGCGTGTTAATGTACTTAAGTCAGAGCCCCAATACCTTAGACACCCTGGATGAGAACCCCATCTAATGATTTAAAAAATATTTAAATAATAACCAATCTGAGTTACTTTACTTTCATTACAATTTTAATTTAACATAACAACGAGGTCAGGCGGTTAGGGCGTTCGATTCCCAATCTGCGGGTTGCGGGCTCGAATCTCCGTACCACTAAACATACTCGCATTTAAGACGTGGGGGCGTTATAATGTGACGTTGGTAGAAGAGCTGCCTTCCCTCTAGTCTTTCACTGCTAAAAGACAGCTAGTGCAGATAGCCCTCATGTAACTTTGCGCGAAATTCAAAATAAACCATAACAACTTTGCGTTGTCATATTTATTATAAAAAGTACAAATCTCATTGAAAATATTACATTGTACAGCGTTCAGGGAAGTTTTAAAGATAATATTTCTACATGTGCATAAATTCCTCTCAAGACTGTCTCGTGAACACCAGTTTGGTAACCACTGGACTACAAGACCTTCGCTGAGGCATGTGATTTGCCCTTTACTACTAACGGTCAAATTCCCCTTTAGGCTATTTTTGAGAAACGGGGTCGTGATCAAGAGCCATCGTCTCAGTAATCTTGGTATTTCAGGTCATATCCTGTTGCAAAATATCTTTAACTGTATGCGTAAATATCTACGTAGACTCACACACATATATAGTTTAACATGGTTCAGTTTGAGTACAAATAGTTTTGTATGCACTTCTTCTGTATAGCTTTAGAAACAACGTTTCACACAGAAGCAGTCCATATAAAATTATTCAACGTTTCAATACTCTCTCTCTAAAAATTTATTTAAGATAATATAAAAACGTAATTAAATTTGTATTTATGGGAAAACTACCCTAATTTTGAAATACTTAAGAAAGGGAAGGCACCTTACTATCAGTCTTCTGCGCTAAGAGATTGTCTATCATTCTTATAACGCACCAAAGCTTAAAATGCAGGGAATATTTTGTGGTATCATACGGATTCGAACCCATCTTCGAAATCCAGATTTCTGGCACAAGATCAACCGCGTCTCTAATTAAAATTAAAAAGTTTAACCTTGAAGCATTAGGAACAATCATTGTACAATAAACGTAAAAACGACAACAAACTTATCATATTTTAAAGTTGTTTATTATTATGGATTAAGCATAAAAGCTCGTGCAAGTTATAATCTATAGTTTTAGGAAAGCACCACCATCTATCCCCCCTAAAAAAGGATATAGGGACAAAATTTAGTGTATTAATCGATTAGATATCAATAAATATAAACATGCTTACGTAGCTTTTCTAACTGAAACTGTTTTGTGAAATAAGACCAAATGTTAATGACGTAGAAATGGGTGAGCGTATTTATGATGAAACAAGAAATGTAATAATTATCTGAACGTTTCCAATTTTTACAATAAAAGTTGTCATTGCCTTCGGGTCGGGTTATAAACGCTTAACGCTATTACCCTTTTACATCGTTATCCACCCCTCCGTTACTAGATTTTCACAAATTGCATGATCCAATACTGACAAAATGACCTTGACCCCAGTCGGCCACGGTGTAGCTACGTTAATATTTATGGGAATTAATGGCCAAATATGAAGTTCAGTGGAGCTCAATAGCAATCTATATGACGTGAGCAAAATGTTACTTAAAATAAATGAGGGAACTGGACCAAATTTGGTGCGAAGTTACAGTGAATTGTGATGATTCAAGACTTCTGAGTAAAACTTCTAAATTACCATGTGGTCAGTGTTAAAAAGAAAATAAGGAACTTCCACGGAATTTCCTTTATCTGACCCTGTTGAGTATCAATCGTTTTTCTATTTTGGATCATTTCCCATAACAATTCTTGCTCAACCTACACATTCTGCTTGTTAGAATTGACTAAAAAAAAAGCAAAAAAAATGCGCTTATCATTATTATTATTTTTTTTTTTGGTGTAAAATAAAAGTGACGGTCAAATTCCACTATTTAATTTGGTTTGGTTGTTGTTAAACACAAAACTGCGCAATGGGCTATCTGTGCTTTGCCCACCACGGGTATCGAAACCC